GAAGTTTAAAAGTAAGACAATCATCAAGCCAGATACCTAGGTATTTATAACAGGTAACCACTTCAAGTATTATTCCTTGCGCAGTTACAATATCTACAACAGGCTCTGGTGTCTTTTTAGCTTTTGAAAAGAGCATTACCTTGGTTTTATCAACATTTAAAAGAAGCTTTAGTTCAGAGAGCTGAGTCTGAATAATGTTAAAAACAGCCTGTAATTTAACAACAGCCTCCTGAATGGAGGGACCTGCACAGTACATCACGGTATCATCCGCATTAAAAATGTAAAGTAGCTTCATCCACATTTTCACCTAAACTGTTGATATATATAGAGAATAAAAGTGGACCTAAAACAGAACCTTGAGGAACACCATTAGCAATGTTTAACCACTCAGAAGACAGCCCATCAAAGTGAACACATTGGGACCTTTCAGAGAGGTAGTTCACAAACCACCCCACTGCATGGCTGGATATGCCAATACTGAGTAGCCTCTGCTTCAGGATGCGATGATCGACGGTATCGAACGCTTTGGACAGGTCAATAAATAGAGCTGCACAACTCTGCTTATTGTCTAAAATACTCGTAATATCATTCACCACTTTCATTGTCGCAGTGATGGTGCTATATTGCTTTCTGAAGCCTGACTGATGTTTAGACAGGATTTCATTTGTACATAAAAAATCCTTTACCTGTTCACTCACTAGGCGTTCGAGAACCTTAGCCAGAACTGACAATTTAGAGATGGGCCTATAATTATTTAATAAAGTGGCCTCCCCACCTTTTAGTAGAGGCAGGACATACGCTGACTTCCATATTTTTGGAATTGTATTTGTGCTGAGGGAAAATATATGATTGTATCTATTTAAAAATGTCTTATTTTTGCTTTCTCTAAGAGAACAGTGATCCCAGCGCTTAACAACGAGTGGAAGTATTACAAGAGCAACGTTAATTAAAATACTGGCAGCCCTGATCGAGGTTTACTGTAACGTGTTCCCTATAGTGTTTACTTCCTGTCTGACTTCTTCTGCTGTTCCCTTAACTGTTAACCTACGAATGATTTATCTGAGTCTCTTAACCTCTTTCCTTCTCGTGCTTTCTTGTTCGGGTTTCTCTATATTCTATTACTTTTCCACAAAAGGTATTCTATGGTGTTTTATAATGGAGGACAACAAATGTGTTTTTTTTACGACAACTGACATTGTTGTCAATGTCAGTTATTTCTTTGGATTGATACAGTATCACAGCACATAGTCCCTTGATCAAATGGCCTTAGCACTGGTCTGCTTTCAATAAAGAACAGAGTATGTGCATGATCATTACTCACCTCTGACGATCAGCCCAGGGGCCGTAGTTAAAGTCTGTTCCTTTTCCACAGACGATGTCCAGACCCCAACATGGAGGAAGGTCCTGAAGCTTATCGCCCTCACTGCACGCTTCTGCCTCCTCCACCCCCTCCTGCTCCACTGGCACCAGACCTGCACACACACATGAAAGCATTACATTATTGTGAGAACAATTACTAAACAAAAAATGCAAAACTCTACAAATAGATCTTGTAAGGACTTAAATCAATTCAACTTCTATTAGCACTGAAGTGTAGAGGGTTGTTCCATAGCAAAAAAGAGAACTATCAACATCTGTCACTGATCGGAAGCGGTAACTTTGACTCATTTACTTTTGACTTTATTTTGTGAGTGTGTGCTTGAGCTTACCGGGTTCATCCTGGTAGTAGTAGATGTCGACATCGTTGGACTGCATTACAACAAAGCCTTCACCCATCAGTCTGGGAGGTCTAGAGGAGAAATCAAGATCTTAGTTAAAGTACAGACTATATGCAGAGATTAGGAATTCATCCAAAAGAAATCACAAGCAGGGTCACAGCAGTAAGGAGGACCCAACAAATCAATGACATATTCATTCCACATTCAATCAGAAAAGTAATACTATATTTATCCTGGGGGACATTTTAGAATGGAATAAAAAATACTCAAGTATATAAATATAAGAAATTAAAGTAAGAATAAATGATGAAAAGAAAAATTAAATAAAGATATTTATGAAAAGAAGAAGAAGTTCAAGTAAGAAGTGTATAACAACATTAAAATAAAATGGAATAAAAATGTATATAAACAAAATAAGTTAAAGTAAGAGGTAAGTCAAATCAAAATATATATAATTGATTAAAATTAAATAAATAATAAAATAGTAAAAACTAAAATGTAAAAGATATTTGTAGAAATAGAAGAAGTTAAAGTAAGAATGTTTAATAAAAAGATAAAAAATAATAATAATATAATAATTTATATACAATGAAATTGTGAAAATATGTGTAGGTTCTGGCACAAAGACACTGGTTCCATGATATAAATGCAGTGTCTGTTCTCTTGGATATGTCTGCTTCCTCTTTGTGGACCTTTCAGTGAAGCTTGAAGACTCCTCAAGGTCTGCTGAAGGTTGAAGTCTCTGCTGGCTCCCGCAGACTGCAGCCAGTTTTCAATAGAGAGTGACTCCTTAATCACAGAGGCTAAAGGCAATTTTACTCTCCATGTCCTTTCATTAAGCTCAAGTGCAGATAATGGATTCCCTGCTTCTAATGCAACACCGTTAAAGCTGCCAGGTTTGTCAAGAGAAAGGGAGTGCCTATCAAAACATGCTGCCAACAATGATCAGTTGCTCAATTTAGATATAGAGTATGATCTGATCTTTCATATAGATTTAGAAACTGTGCCACTCAGAATTGTTCCTTTGAATCCACAAATGTAACATATTATAATTATATAAAGATTATTATTATTATTATTATTATTATTATTATTATTATATTATTGAACATTTTACTTAAACCTCTTGTTTATTTGTCCTTATTTTTAGCTATTCATTTATCTTACATTCTATAATGAGGCAACTGTCCATTCAACGTTAATTCTATCTTTCATTTCTTATGTTAATATAAGTCTTTTTGTTCCATTTTTCTTTTCTTTTGTTAATCCATTTTATTTATTTTAATGGAGTATCTTTCCCCCCAGGTAAATAAAGTATTCCAATTTAATGTGGATTGAATATTTAATTTTATTCTCAATATTTAATCGATTAATGATTTTATTATAAAACGTATCATGTACAAATTATTATGTATGAATACATGTATTTTATTTTATTTTCCATAATAACATTAACCTTTTATATTTATATCCTTTTCCTTCTTTTAATTGATCTTTTATTTGATTTCATTCTTAAATGGACCTGCTGTTACAAAAACCTATTTCCCCCCTGGGTCATTTGGGTTTTTGTAATATTTTGTAGGAACAAGCCGGAAAAAACATAGTCCTCAGCCAGTGTTAAGGACTGCCAGCATTCACAGAATAATTCATTTGACATAATGTTCTTATTTTCTTCAGTCTTTACGGTATGCTTTCAATTATTCTTGAGGCAAGAGCATGACATGACTACTGTAATAGCATCCTTTACGCTCTGCATACCATCCAACCCCCTCAATAAACTCCAACATATCCAGAACTCTGCTGCCCGCCTCCTCACCCACACCCGCTCCCGAGACCACATCACTCCCGTCCTCCAGAACCTCCACTGGCTCCCCGTCCGTCAAAGAATCAACTTCAAAGTCCTCCTGATTACTCACAAAGCCCTCAACAACCAGCCCCCCCCCCCCAGCCAACCTCCTATCCATCCCCAACCGCATCAATCACCGGACCTGGGGGGACAGAGCCTTCTCCGTTTCTGCCCCCTCCCTCTGGAACTCACTCCCCCAATCCATCACAGACTGCCCTGACCTCACCTCCTTCAAAACACTCACCTCTTCAATCTGGCTTTTAATGTGGGATTGTTTTTGTATTATTTGACTTTAACTTTAACTATATATATTTGTTGTTCTTCTCTTTTCACTATAGTAAAGCGTCTTTGAGCACCTTTAAAAGCGCTAACAAATTAAATCTATTATTATTATTATTATTATTATTATTATTATTATTATCTATGAGCAGCTTTAAAAACAGACAATGATATAAAAAATTATGTTTTAGAAATCACATTGTAACAATAAATAGTACATTTGAAGAGTGTGCTGCTTTATTTAACCTCTTTGGTATAAGCTTTATATGAATTTCAGACAATAATTCAAGCAGTAGTGTCTCTTGAACTCGCATCCTTTTAAAAGAAAGGTGATTTGAACGATTATAAGTCAACTTCAATGTTTCTTTAATACAAAGCTACTTACTCATCGTTCTGCATGCCGAGGTAGCGTGGACTGGGCACCAGCATGACTCGCACGTTCTCCAGCGAGCCTTTGACGATGTGCATGAACTGGTCCAGGTGGCTGGAGGGCGGCTTGGTGGCGTACGTCAGGAAGGCGTCCTCGAAGTTCACACACAGAGTCTGGGGGAGGTAGTGGTTCCCGAACGCCAGACGCCCCTACAGACAGCAGAGTCACTTGTTTTATTTCCATGTATAACCACTTGCTTTAATACGGCACGCTCTTAAAGGGAGAGTCTGGATGTTTTAAAGACAGTTCATTCATTATTAGTTTTTAACTAAAATTTCTTCCTCTTCTATCTTCAATTGTTCTCTTTAAAATGTACTTTATCTTCTTATGTTTGTATAGATATAAGTCATCTATTTTGTCATTTCTTATGTTTGTAAAAAAATGTTTAATCTTATATTATTGTTTATGTTTTATTAATTAATATAGTATTTATTTTATTCTTACATTTAGAAACTTTACCCCGGGATCAATAAAGTATACAGATTTAATGTGGACTAAATATTCAAATATACATGATTGCAAATGACAACTTTCTTATTTTTTTAATGAATCTATCATTTATTTATTTGATTCTAAAAAGGAGTATACAGATTTAATGTGGAGAGAATATTTAATTATTCTTTCAATAATTAATTCATTTAAATGTATTTAATGTTATATTTGACGTTGAACTTTTTATTCTTGTTCATTTTTATAGTTAATTACACATTGTATTTAATTTGTTATGCTTTCTTCTTTAAAAGGTCCCATGTCATGCTTTTCCGGTTATTACCCGTCCCCTTGTGTGTTATGAAGGTTTTTATGCATGTAAACGGTCTGCAGAGTCAAAACCCTCAAAGGGGGATAGG